TCTCTATATCTACAACTCTGTTACAGTCCTCTCTCTATATACCTCTGAATACAAGCCTCTCTATATATACAACTCTGTTACCAAGCCTCTCTCTATATATACAACTCTGTTACCAGTCTCTCTCTCTATATATACCCTCTGTTACAAGCCTCTCTCTATATATTACACTCCTGTTACAAGTCTCTCCTCGCTATATATAACCACTCGGTTACAAGCCTCTCTCTATATATACACTCTTTTACAAGTCTTCCTCTATATATACACTCTGTTCAAGCCTCTCTCTATATATACACTCTGATACAAGCCTCTCGTTATATATTCCAAACCTCTGGTTACAAGCCTCTTCTATTATACACTCCGTTTACACAAGTCTCTCTCTCTAATATACACTCTGTTACACAAACAAGCCTCTCTCTATATATATACATACACTCTGTTTACAAGTCTCTCTCTCGTATATATACACTCTGTTAGCCAGTCCTCTCTCTCTATATATACACTCTGGTTACAAGTTTCTCTCTATATATACACTCTGTTACAAGCCTCTCTCTATATATACACTCTTTTACAAGCCTCTCTCTATATATACACTCTGATACAAGTCTCTCTCTCTATATATACACTCTGTTACAAGCCTCTCTCTATATATACACTCTGTTACAAGTCTCTCCACGAACATCTGGTAACCCTCCATGGGCGCTCCCTTTCTTTGATGTTATTACCCTTTACCCCAAGTCACTATATCCTGTCCATCAATTATTCTAAGATCAACCTCAGTAATCTCCTTTGACATAACGGAGTGTAGACTCTGGCAGCAAACCGCTTATCCACTAACTCCCCTGGTCCCCACAATACCATGACACGACATCATTACACCCATAGATATGGCTGAATGGACCAGACGGGTTTTAGGACTACAAGCCAGGGTTAGATGAATCTCGCCGTGTAGCAAGGTTTCCATTAGGAAAATGATCAGCTGGACAACGTGACCGGGAAGATTTTAATTTACAGGCCATTTACCGGACCCATATCAAATCAAATTTTATTGGCCACACGCGCCGAATACAACAGGTGTAGACATTACAGTGAAATGCTTACTTACAGCTCTTAACCAACAATGCATTTATTTTTTAATAAAAAAGTGTTGAGAAAAAAAGAGCAGAAGTAAAATAAAATAACAGTAGGGAGGCTATATATACGGGGGGGTACCGGTGCAGAGTCAATGTGCGGGGGCACCGGCTAGTTGAGGTAATATGTACATGTGGGTAGAGTTAAAGTGACTATGCATAAATAATTAACAGAGTAGCAGCAGCGTAAAAGGATGGGGTGGGGGGGCAGTGCAAATAGTCCGGGTAGCCATGATTAGCTGTTCAGGAGTCTTATGGCTTGGGGGTAGAAGCTGTTGAGAAGTATTTTGGACCTAGACTTGGCACTCCGGTACCGCTTGCCGTGCGGTAGCAGAGAGAACAGTCTATGACTAGGGTGGCTGGAGTCTTTGACAATTTTGAGGGCCTTCCTCTGACACCGCCTGGTATAGAGGTCCTGGATGGCAGGAAGCTTGGCCCCAGTGATGTACTGGGCCGTACACACTACCCTCTGTAGTGCCTTGCGGTCGGAGGCCGAGCAGTTGCCATACCAGGCGGTGATGCAACCGGATGGTGCATCTGTATAATGTTTTGATGATCTGAGGACCCATGCCAAATCTTTTCAGTCTCCTGAGGGGGAATAGGCTTTGTCGTGCCCTCTTCACGACTGTCTTGGTGTGTTTGGACTATGATAGTTTGTTGGTGATGTGGACACCAAGGAACTCGATGAGAATGGGGGCGTGCTCAGTCCTCTTTTTTTCCCCTGTAGTCCACAATCATCTCCTTTGTCTTGGTCACGTTGAGGGAGAGGTTGTTATCCTGGCACCACACGGCCAGGTCTCTGACCTCCTCCCTGTTGTGTCGTCGGCAAACTTAATGATGGTGTTGGAGTCGTGCCTGGCCATGCAGTCATGGGTGAACGGGGAGTACAGGAGGGGACTGACCACGCACCCCTGAGGGGCCCCCGTGTTGAGGATCAGCGTGGCGGATGTGTTGTTACCTACCCTTACCACCTGGGGGCGGCCCGTCAGGATCCAGTTGCAGAGGGAGGTGTTTAGTCCCAGGATCCTTAGCTTAGTGATGAGCTTTTTTTTTTTTGTTGTCATTTAGCAGACGCTCTTATCCAGAGCGACTTACAGGAGCAATTAGGGTTAAGTGCCTTGCTCAAGGGCACATCGACAGATTTTTCACCTAGTCGGCTCGGGGATTACAACCAGCGACCTTTCGGTTACTGGCACAACGCTCTTAACCACTAAGCTACCTGCCCCCCTAGTCAATGAATAGCATTCTGGTGTTCCTCTTTTCCAGGTGGGAAAGGGCAGTGTGGAGTGCGATAGAGATTGCATCATCTGTGGATCTGTTGGGGCGGTATGCAAATTGGAATGGGTCTAGGGTTTTTGGGATAATGGTGTTAATGTGAGCCATGACCAGCCTTTCAAAGCACTTCATGGCTACAGACGTCAGTGCTACGGGTCAGTAGTCATTTAGGCAGGTTACCTTAGTGTCCTTGGGCACAGGGACTATGGTGGTCTGCATGAAACATGTTGGTATTACAGACTCAGTCAGGGACATGTTGAAAATGTCAGTGAAGACACTTGCCAGTTGGTCAGCACATGCTCGGAGTACACGACCTGGTAATCCGTCTGGCCGGCCTTGTGAATGTTTTTTCCTCTGGTTGCACATTTAACATGCTGGTAGAAATGAGGTAGAACGGATTTCAGTTTCCCTGCATTAAAGTCCCCGGCCACTAGGAGCGCTGCCTCTGGATGAGCGTTTTCCTGTTCACTTATGACCTTATACAGCTCATTCAGTGCAATCTTAATGCCGTATGCATTGGGTGCATTACCCATTAGGCTGTTCACCCATGGTGCTCAGGATGACAAATCACATGTAGTTTATGGTAATGCATCTTAACAGAACATGCAACTCATGTAGTAATGAAGTAACCAATAAAACGTCATTTTCAAACGTTTGCCAAAATGCAATTAGCTGGAAACCACCGTTCTAAACAGCGAACCTGATAGTGGTTCCATATGTGACAGAGATGAAAACCTCTGTTAGAAACTTAGAGGGGGAATCTAAAGATGTAACAACTAGGATGTGACTAGGATTGTGCCTTTGGCTTCTGGACAACGAAAGAAAGTTGATATGAAAACAACAACAGTAGAGAAATGGCATAGCGGGGGGTCTAATAGGGAAGTACATGGAAATAAACGCCCAAATTATATTAAATAATTACAACTTTCTATCAAATCATTCCAAATACTTCAACAGAAAACCACAGAGGAATTGAGGATCATTAGCTTCTTTAAAAAATAGCTGTGGATGGTTTCAAATCACTTTTCCTATTGGGGAAGCCTGCAGTTTGGGCCTAGCTGATCTGAGTGTGTATTTATTATGGATGGATCCCCATGAGCTGCTGCCAAGTTGTGGCTGTCAGAGTAAAGCATCAAATGTGTGAAGATAATGTCTTGAGGATAATAAAACATGTTGAGACAAGGGGAGGGGGGTGTGGCGAAGAGAGAGGCCAGTCTCGTATTGGATTTGGAACCGGGTGAGCCACGTGCCCTGTTCAAAGCCCACGGCGAAGACGGCTCACAACAAAAGTGACATAATTAAGCACGTGTAGTAATTAGTAGGATTCTATTTTTTCCTTGCAAAAGTGATTTGTTTTTGTTAACCCATTATCTGACTTCCCAATGGAAAAATAGTTAGGAAATTCAAACATTTATTTTATGGGAAAGAGATGTATGTTTCTGGACGATGCACCACGTTGCCTTGTTGACAAAATGACTGAGCCGCACAGATTACTGTTAGATTTGAGAATGGTGCTCCTCCCCTCGATTACGTGGCAGATGTTTGCCAGTGCTCCGCATAATTGATGGGAACAGGTGAGCGTCATCACATACGGTACATTGGGGTGGACCCACCTGTCTTAATCAGTGGGATAAGTTTTGAAATGGAAAACATGACGGCGTATACATTGTTGGATTACTTCATGGAGTGAAACATTTATTTATTTTAATAACGGAGCATTTTCTAAACTAAAATGCACCACCTGCAACTGGACATTTTAAAATATACGTTCTCCATTTAGCCGAATCGAGAACGAAGATGGTATCGCCAATACCAGGTTAGTTGAAAAATCTCTGCCGACGTTTTGTATAGGTAAACCTGTAACTCCCAGTAATGATTCCAAACATCACATTATCTGGTGTAACAATCTGTAGCTGAGGCACCAAAGCAGTCACGAAACGTGTCGATTACTTCAGTTGTTTAAGCAACGCCACGCACATTTACATAGAGAAAAAAACTAAATGTCCCTTGTCTGTCACAAATGTTGAAAAGTAGGAAAGTATTATTAAACCGACTTCAAAACGCGGGTCTGTGTGTGTGGCAATCAAGATATTTTAGCTCCTGACCGAAGGCACGTGCAGAAGACGGAGAGGCATGCATGCATACGAACAGGTGTTTATGGTTTTGTGCATGTGCCAGGTGTTTATGGTTTTGTGCATGTGCCAGGTGTTTATGGTTTTGTGCATGTGCCAGGTGATAGGAATTTCAACTTCAGTACTGGTGCTTTAAAGAGTCGGCTAAACAATATTTTCCTTTGGATATTTTGTCTCAAATGTCGAGCAGCTGAATGACGAACCGCACAGACAACCGGTGGAGTAAGTTTAAATGTAAAATTATTCAACATTCTGGCTTGCAAGGAACATTCTGCAGTGCTTTGTTTGACTGTATACCAATAATTATTCAGTCTGATTATTGGAACTCCCTGTAGGCCACGCCTCCACCAATCCCATGCTGTTAGACTTTAGGAAGTAGTGAACAAGGGTACACTTCAGGAGAAAGGAGATGTTATTGGGACGCACCCCTTCTGCTTACTGGTTGTCAGTGGTTGTCTGTTGACAGGAAGTGTGCGCGCTGCTCATCCACGTGACCCGCCTGGTTCCTCTCAGCCAGGAACACCTGGTCATCAAGCTATGTCAGCTCACACACCACCTCCTCAACCAGCTACAGGTACCGCTCACACACCACCAGGTACCACCCACACACCACCAGGTACCACCCACACACCACCCCCTCAACCAGGTACCACCCACACACCACCTCCTCAACCAGCTACAGGTACCGCTCACACACCACCAGGTACCACCCACACACCACCAGGTACCACCCACACACCACCAGGTACCACCCACACACCACCTCCTCAACCAGGTACCACCCACACACCACCCCCTCAACCAGGTACCACCCACCTCCTCAACCAGGTACCACCCACCTCCTCAACCATGTACCACCCACACACCACCCCCTCAACCAGGTACCACCCACCTCCTCAACCAGGTACCACCCACACACCACCCCCTCAACCAGGTACCACCCACCTCCTCAACCAGGTACCACCCACACACCACCCCTCAACCAGGTACCAACCCACACACCACCCCCTCAACCAGGTACCACCCACCTCCTCAACCAGGTACCACCCACACACCACCTCCTCACCAGGTACCACCCACACACCACTCCTCAACCCAGGTACCACCCACACCCACCTCAACCAGGTCCCACCCACCTCCTCAACCATGGTAACCACCCAACCACACCACCCCCCTCAACCAGGTACCACCCACCTCCTCAACCAGGTACCACCCACACACCACCCCTCAAACCAGGTACCACCCACCTCCTCAACCAGGTACCACCCACACACCACCCCCTCAACCAGGTACCACCCACCTCCTCAACCAGGTACCACCCACACACCACCCCCCCCCAACCAGGTACCACCCACCTCCTCAACCAGGTACCACCCACACACCACCCCCTCAACCAGGTACCACCCACACACCACCACCTCAACCAGGTACCACCCACCTCCTCAACCAGGTACCACCCACACACCACCCCCTCAACCAGGTACCACCCACCTCCTCAACTAGGTACCACCCACACACCACCTCCTCAACCAGGTACCACCCACACACCACCACCTCAACCAGGTACCACCCACCTCCTCAACCAGGTACCACCCACACACCACCTCCTCAACCAGGTACCACCCACACACCACCTCCTCAACCAGGTACCACCCACCCCTACTCTCTGTAACTGTGTGTGTGTGTGTGTGTGTGTGTAGGTGATAGTGGACGAGCAGACGCTGGATGTGTGTGTGTGTTACGTGGTCCGTGCGCTGGGCGTGTGTAGCCCCTGGACTCACAGTGAGGTGCTGCAGGCTTTGTCTACTCTGATCTATGGAAACGGACCTCGCTGCAACCGGGTAGGTGGGGTGGGGGGTGGGGGTGAGGCGGCGGGGGGGTGTGAGGGTGAGGTGTGTGTGACATGCATGTTCTCTCGGTGTTGCAGCACCTGAGTGAGTTGCTAGGTGATGGTGGAGTACTGCGTCTCTATAGCGACCCGTCTCAGCCAGACATGGAGCTGCGCCGTGCTGCGCTCACCTGTATGGCTAACATCTGTCTGGGGTAGGATGCACCATACCATACCCCACCATAACATACCATACCATACCCCACCATTACCCCACCATACCCCATCACCCCACTATACCATACCATACCCCACCATTACCCCACCATACCCCATCACCCCACCCTACCACCCCACCCCACCATACCCCACCATACCACACCGCTCTACACATATCAATCTGTTTGGTGTTGTACACTGTTTTGACTGTGTGTGTGTGTGTGTGTGTGTGTGTGTGGTGTGTGTGTGGTGTGTGTGTGTGTGTGTGTGTGTGTGTGTGGTGTGTGTGTGTGTGTGTGTGTGTGGTGTGTGTGTGTGTGTGTGTGTATAGTGTCCCAGGGCAGGCGGCACTAGAAGACCCCTACAGGAGTTTGTGTTTCAGAGTCTTCCTGCAGACGCTCCAGTCTCCCAAACCCCCCGACGCTGACGAACTGCTCTACTGCACGGTACCCAGATCCCTTACTAGGGTTTAGTAGGGGGGACCAGGATCCCTTACTAGGGTTTAGTAGGGGGAACCAGGATCCCTTACTAGGGTTTAGTAGGGGGAACCAGGATCCCTTACTAGGGTTTAGTAGGGGGAACCAGGATCCCTTACTAGGGTTTAGTAGGGGGAACCAGGATCCCTTACTAGGGTTTAGTAGGGGGAACCAGGATCCCTTACTAGGGTTTAGTAGGGGGAACCAGGATCCCTTACTAGGGTTTAGTAGGGGGAACCAGGATCCCTTACTAGGGTTTAGTAGGGGGAACCAGGATCCCTTACTAGGGTTTAGTAGGGGGAACCAGGATCCCTTACTAGGGTTTAGTAGGGGGGACCAGGATCCCTTACTAGGGTTTAGTAGGGGGAACCAGGATCCCTTACTAGGGTTTAGTAGGGGGAACCAGGATCCCTTACTAGGGTTTAGTAGGGGGAACCAGGATCCCTTACTAGGGTTTAGTAGGGGGGACCAGGATCCCTTACTAGGGTTTAGTAGGGGGAACCAGGATCCCTTACTAGGGTATAGTAGGGGGAGCCAGGATCCCTTACTAGGGTTTAGTAGCGGGAACCAGGTTACTGAGATTTACAGAGACTTCCCGCCCAAACCCCGTCTCCCCACTAATAAACACCAAGTCGGAGCCCAATCTCGTAGTCTTCATGTGCTTGAAAACCTTCTACACTGAACAACAATATAAATGCAACATGTAAAGTGTTGGTCCCATGTTTTATGAGCTGAAATAAAAGATACCCGGAATGTTCCATACGCACAAGAAGCGTATTATTCTGAAGCTCATCTGCGTGCTCGTCGTCCTGACCAGGGTCTTGACCTGACTGCAGTTCGGCGTCGTAACCCACTTTAGTGGGAAAATGCTCACCTTCGATGGCCACTGGCACGCTGGTGAAGTGTGCTCTTCACGAATGAATCCCGATTTCAACTGTACCGGGCAGATGGCAGACAGCGTGTATGGCGTCGTGTGGGCGGGTGGTTTGCTGATGTCAACGTTGTGAACAGAGTGCCCCATGGTGGCGGTGTGGTTGTGGTATGGGCAGGCATAAGCTACGGACAACGAACACAATTGCATTTTATCGGTGGCAATTTGAATGTACAGAGACACCGTGATGAGATCCTGAGCCCTATTGTCACGCCATTCATCCGCCGCCATCACCTCATGTTTCAGCATGATAAAGCACGGCCCCATGTCACATGGATCTGTACACAATTCTTTGGAAGCTGAAAATGTCCCAGTTCTTCCATGGCCTGCATACTCACCAGACATGTCAACCATTGAGCATGTTTGGGATGCTCTGGATCGACGCGTACGACAGCATGTTCCAGTTCCCGCCAATATCCAGCAACTTCACACTGGCATTGAAGAGGAGTGGGACAACATTCCCACAGGCCATAATCAACAGCCTGATCAACTCTATGCGAAGGAGATGTGTCGCGTTGCATGAGGCAAATGGTGATCACACCAGATACTGACAGGTTTTCTGATCCACGCCAAACCTTTTTTTAAAGGTATCTTTGACCAACAGATGCATAACTGTATTCCCAGTTGTGAAATCCATAGATTAGGCCCTAATTAAGTTACTTCAATTGACTGATTTCCACATATGAACTGTAACTCAGTGAAGTTGTTGCGTTTTTATATTTTTGTTCAGTGTGAATTGCGTGACACATTCTTCCTTCAGGCTCGCTGAAGAGTGAATAATTTAGGAAATGCTTGTGAGGTATTATAGCCAGGAAGGCGGGGCTTCCGAGGGCGGTCTCGGCATCCGTTGGCCAATTGGGCGTGATTTCACTTTGCTTCAGGTGAATAGGATTGATCGTTGACTCACCACAGTAGTTATACCGACTGAAAGGGAAACCCTCCCGTTTCCCTGTGAGAAACTGAACTGAACTATAATGGAAAGCAGGAAGGAATGAAGCAGCATTAGAGAGAGAGGGAGGGGCCAATACACTGTTTATTATTTAAGGTATAGATGAGTCAGCCTACTCATTTACTGTACTGTTAGTTCCTCTATTTATATATACACTGTATATACTTGTTCTCCCCACTGTATATATATATACAGTGTATATACCTGTTCTCCCAACTGTATATATATGTATGTATATATGTATATATGTATACTGTATGAGTCAGCCTACTAATTTTACAAATGTAAAATAGGCCTTATTATATTTCAAAATTAAAATCTAAATGGCTACCCTATAATTGTAACTTTGTAGGGCACATGTCCTGCACCAGCATCACATGTTATCTCCCAGCTTCATGGTTTGAACGAGGTGCGTAATTCACCTAATACAGTACACTGAGTTGAGTTGCATTAAGGACACCTTCCTAATATTGAGTTGCACCCCCTTCACCACCCTCAGAACAGCTACAAGGTGTCGAAAGCGTTCCACAGGGATGCTGGCCCATATTGACTCCAAATGCTTCCCACAGTTGTGTCAAGTTGGCTGGATGTCCTTTGGGTGGTGAACCATTCTTGATGCACACCGGAAACTGTTGAGTGTAAAAACCCAGCAGCGCTGCAGTTCTTGACACTCAAACCGGTGCGCCTGACACCTACTACCATACCCTGTTCAAAGGCACTTAAATATTTTGTCTGGCCCATTCACCCTCTGAATGGAACACATACACAATCCATGTCTCAATTGTCTCAAGGCTTAAAGATCTTTCTTTAACCCGTCTCCTCCCCTTCATCTACACTGATTGAAGTGGATTTAACATGTGACATCAATAAGGGATCATAGCTTTCACCTGGTCAGTCGGTCATGGAAAGGGCAGTTACCTTAATGTTTAGTACAGGACAGCAATACAGTCCACACTCAACAAGTGTTTCATTTATTTACCCAAGAAAGGATAGCTACATCTATTGGCTTTTATGTTTTTCTGTCGTAGTGTACGTTAGCCTATCATATATATTAGAAAACGGAACATTCATTTGTGCTTTTTGGGTCTTGTGCTAATAAAATGTGTAATGTAGGGCTCATGAAATGTCTTTAATGTAGGAAACATCTGGCTCAGGTAGCATCAGGCCAATCAAAGCTTTAATCAAATCCAGACATACAGGGCCTTCGGAAAGATTTCAGAACCCTTTACTTTTTCCACATTTTCATTTATCTACACACAATTCCCCATAATGCCAAAGCAAAAACTGGTTTTTAGAAAGTTTTGCAAATGTATTAAATTAAAAACTGATATCACATTTACATAAGTATTCAGACCCTTTACTCAGTACTTTGTTGAAGCACCTTTGGAAGTGATTACAGCCTCAAGTCTTCTTGGGTATGACGCTACAAGCTTGGCCCTGATCTCTCTTTTGACGAACATATCAAGACTGTTTCAAGGACAGCTTTTTTCCATCTACGTAACATTGCAAAAATCAGAAATTTTCTGTCCAAAAATGATGCAGAAAAATTAATCCATGCATTTGTTACTTCTAGATTAGACTACTGCAATGCTCTATTTTCCGGCTACCCGGATAAAGCACTAAATAAACTTCAGTTAGTGCTAAATACGGCTGCTAGAATCCTGACTAGAACCAAGAAATTTGATCATATTACTCCAGTGCTAGCTTCCCTACACTGGCTTCCTGTTAAGGCAAGGGCTGATTTCAAGGTTTTACTGTTAACCTATAAAGCGTTACATGGGCTTGCTCCTACCTATCTTTCCGAGTTGGTCCTGCCGTACATACCAATACGTACGCTACGGTCACAAGACGCAGGCCTCCTAATTGTCCCTAGAATTTCTAAGCAAACAGCGGGAGGCAGGGCTTTCTCCTATAGATCTCCATTTTTATGGAACAGTCTGCCTACCCATGTGAGAGACGCAGACTCGGTCTCAACCTTTAAGTCTTTACTGAAGACTTATCTCTTCAGTAGGTCATATGATTGAGTGTAGTCTGGCCCAGGAGTGTGAAGGTGAACGGAAAGGCTGGAGCAACGAACAGCCCTTGCTGTCTCTGCCAGGCCGGTTCCCCTCTCCACTGGGGTTCTCTGCCTCTAACCCTGTTGCAGGGGCTGAGTCACTGGCCTGCTGGTGCTCTTTCATGCCGTCCCTGGGAGGGGTGCGTCACTTGAGTGGGTTGAGTTACTGACGTGATCTTCCTGTCTGGGTTGGCGCCCCCCCCCCCCCTTGGTTTGTGCTGTGGTGGAGACCTCTGTGGGCTATACTCGGCCTTGTCTCAGGATTGTAAGTTGGTGGTTGGGGATATCCCTCTAGTGGTGCGGGGGCTGTGCTTTGGCGGAGTGGGTGGGGTTATATCCTTCCTGTTTGGCCCTGTCCGGGGGTTTCTTCGGATGGGGCCACAGTGTCTCCGGACCGCTCCTGTCTCAGCCTCCAGTATTTATGCTGCAGTAGTTTATGTGTCGGGGGGCTGGGGTTAGTTGGTTATACCTGGAGTACTTCTCCTGTCTTATCCAGTGTCCTGTGTGAATTTAAGTATGCTCTCTCTAATTCTCTCGTTCTCTCTTTCTCTCTGAGAACCTGAGCCCTAGGACCATACGTCAGGACTACCGGGCATGATGACACCCTGCTGCCCCCAGTCCGCCTGGCCTTGCTGCTATTCCAGTTTCAACTGTTCTGCCTGCGGCTACGAAACCCCTACCTGTCCCAGACCTGCTGTTTTCAACTCTAAATGATCGGCTATGAAAAGCCAACTGAGAGACCTGAGCCCTAGGACCATACGTCGGGACTACCGGCCGTGGTGACTCCTTGCTATCCCCAGTCCGCCTGGCCTTGCTGCTATTCCAGTTTAAAACTGTTCTGCCTGCGGTTATGGAACCCCTACCTGTCCCAGACCTGCTGTTTTAAACTCTAATGATCGGCTATGAAAAGCCAACTGAGATTTATTCCTGATTATTATTTGACCATGCTTGTCACTTATGAACATTTTTGAACATCTTGGCATGGTTCTGTTATAATCTCCACCCGGCACAGCCAGAAGAGGACTGGCCACCCCTCATAGCCTGGTTCCTCTCTAGGTTTCTTCCTAGGTTTTGCCTTTCTAGGGAGTTTTTCCTAGCCACCGTGCTTCTACACCTGCATTACTAGCTGTTTGGGGTTTTAGGCTGGGTTTCTGTACAGCACTTCGAGATATTAGCTGATGTAAGAAGGGCTATATAAAATAAAATTGATTGATTGATTGATTGAAGCTTGGCACACCTGTATTTAGGGAGTTTCTCCCATTCTTCTCTGCAGATCGTCTCAAGCTCTGTCAGGTTAGATTGGGAGTGTCGCTGCACAGCTATTTTCAGGTCTCTCCAGAGATGTTCGATCGGGTTCAAGTCCGGGCTCTGGCTGGGCCACTCAAGGACATTCAGAGACTTGTCCCAAAGCCACTCCAGCATTGGCTTGGCTGTGTGCTTAGGGTCGTTGTCCTGTTGGAAGTTGAACCTTCGCCCCAGTCTGAGGTCCTGAGCACTCTGGAGCAGGTTTTCATCAAGGATCTCTCTGTACTTTGCTCCGTTCATCTTTCCCTCGATCCTGACTAGTCTCCCAGTCCCTGCCGCTGAAAAACATCCCCACAGCATGATACTGCCACCACCATGCTTCACCGGTCTGAATACTTTCCGAATGCACTGTATATGCCTTAGAATGACACGGGAAATGGCGGGAAATACCGGGTTACCAGGGAGAAAAGTGAATTAAATCAAATCAAATGTTATTGGTCACATGCACCGAATACAACAGGTGTAGACTTTACAGTGAAATGCTTCCTGACGAGCCCATTCCCAACAGTCCAAATGAACTGTGTGTGTAGGGGGGTTAGGGTGAAGGGGTTAGGGTGAAGGGGTTAGGGTGAAGGGGTCAGGGTGAAGGGGTCAGGGCTCCACTAACTGTGTGTGTGTGTGTGTAGGTGATCCAGGGAGCGGTGAAGGGGTCAGGGTGAAGGGGTCAGGGTGAAGGGGTTAGGGCTCCACTAACTGTGTGTGTGTGTGTGTGTAGGTGATCCAGGGAGCGGTGAAGGGGTTAGGGTGAAGGGGTTAGGGTGAAGGGGTCAGGGCTCCACTAACTGTGTGTGTGTGTGTGTGTGTAGGTGATCCAGGGAGCGGTGAAGGGGTTAGGGTGAAGGGGTTAGGGTGAAGGGGTCAGGGCTCCACTAACTGTGTGTGTGTGTGTAGGTGATCCAGGGAGCAGTGAAGGGGTTAGGGTGAAGGGGTCAGGGCTCCACTAACTGTGTGTGTGTGTGTGTGTAGGTGATCCAGGGAGCGGTGAAGGGGTTAGGGTGAAGGGGTTAGGGTGAAGGGGTCAGGGCTCCACTAACTGTGTGTGTGTGTGTGTGTAGGTGATCCAGGGAGCAGTGAAGGGGTTAGGGTGAAGGGGTTAGGGTGAAGGGGTCAGGGCTCCACTAACTGTGTGTGTGTGTGTGTAGGTGATCCAGGGAGCGGTGAAGGGCCTCCAGTCCTCTCTGTGTGGAGGGAAGTGGAGGTTTGGAGGCCAGGAGGAACTGGGAGCTCTACTGGCAGTTCTCAAGGTACACATCTACTGTATATACACTGGGGTCCACAATTAACACTGGATCAAATCAATCATACAAATACTGACATATATTGTTTGCTTTTTTTTGTGTCCAATTATATTTAAACTGATATAATTCCTCAGAGAAAGACATTTTGTAAAACAATCTTTTTAACAAAGTTGGAGTGGTCAAATCCCCTGTTTTCAATACTCCAGCCCCCTCCCCTTGTGAGGATAATGGCACTGAGCCTTTTTCTAAAATGTTTTATGAGATTGGAGAACACATTGGGAGGGATCTTAGACCATTCCTCCTTACATAATCTTTCCAGGTCCTTCATCTGCCCTCTTCAATTCAAACCACGTTTTCAATGGTGTTCTTTGTGGATTGTGATGTGTGCTTGGGGTTATTGTCTTGCTGGAAGATCCACTAAAGGCCAGGTTTCAGCCTTCTGGCAGAAGCAACCAGGATTTCAGCTAAAATATCCCGGTACTGGGTAAAGTTCATGATGCCGTTGATCTTGTATGTATATATATATATAATGTATATAATGTATAATGTATGCACACATGACTTTAAGTCGCTTTGGATAAAAGCGTCTGCTAAATGGCTTATTATTATTATTATTATTATTATTATTATTATTATTATCTTAACAAGGGCCCCAGGACCAGTGGAAGCAAAATAGCCCCATAACATCAAAGATCCACCACCATATTTTACAGTAGGTAAGGGGTTCTTTTAATGGCCCAACCCACCATTGGTGTGTGGCCAAATAGCTCTATTTTTATGTCATCTGACAACAGCACCACCTGGAGTTTGATAAACAGCATTGACACACTTGGATTGGAACATGCCCGGCTTGGGGGTGTCGCTCGTCATGGAGGAGGAGAGGGGCTTCAAGGAACAGAGCGAGCGAGAGAGAGAGAGAGATTTGGTGGCCTTTCTGGAGGACATTCTGGTCACACACTCAGATTGACAGGATACTGGAGTATTGAAAACGGGGAATCCAATCATTTTCACCTGTATCTTTTTGAGATTTGTTTTATTTGTTAAACAAAATCTATTTCTCTGAGCAATTGTATAAAATATAATTTGTTCATAATTTTGGTCAGGATTTGTATTTAGTTTATAGACTTTCTTGCTCATCTTTATCAAGGGAGGTAGTTCTGGACCCCACTGATCGGTTGGTTGAATTTATTAGATAATAAAGAGCCAGAGAAAACAATAGATAAAGTATTGAGGACAGAAAGGTTGTAATGTATCTACATAAAGGCGTATTTCCGTAGTTTGGTTGTAATGTATCTACATAAAGGCGTATTTCCGTAGTTTGGTTGCAATGTATCTACATAAAGGTGTTAATGTGTGTTGTACAGAGGTTCATGTTCCATGGTTGTCCAGGAGTGTGTGTGGAGTGGCCGTCCGTGCTGTACCCCGCTCCCCTGCCTCAGTACGAAACCTGCAGCACCCCCAAACCCCCCGAACCTCCACGGAACCCCCCCACCCAGACCTCAGGGGTAAGAGACGGTGTCTGATGTAGACCAGAGGGCTGATGGGAACTGTAGTACGGAGGTCCACATTTCATCTTGGAGGGCAGGATCACAACTGGTTTCCATCCTTTGATCCAGTAAAGGAGATAAACAAATATTTCTCCTCTCCCCCTCTCTTCTCTCCCCTTCTTCTCCCTCTCCTCCCCTCTCTTTCCCTCTCCTTCTCCTCTCCCCCCCTTCCTCGCTCCTCCTCTCCCCCTTCTCTCTCTCTCCCTCCCCTTCTCTTCTCCCTCTCAACCCCTGCTCTCTCTCTCTCCTCTCACCCCCTCTCTCTCTCTCTCCTCTCACCCCCTCCTCTTCTTTCTCTTCCTCTTCACACCTCTCCTCTCCTCTTCCTCTCACACCTCTCTCTCTTCTCTCTCCCTCCACCCCTCTCTCTCTCTCTCCACTCCCCCGTCTCTCTCTCCTCTCCCCCTTCTCTCTCTCTCTCCGCTCCTCCCCCTTCCTCTTCTCTCGCTCTCCTCCTCCCCCTTCTCTCTCTCGCTCTCCTCTCCCCCTTCTCTCGCTCTCCTCTCCTCCTCTCTCTCTCTCTCCTCTCCCCCTTCTCTCTCTCGCTCTCCTCTCCCCCTTCTCTCGCTCTCCTCTCCTCTCCCCCTTCTCTCTCTCTCTGTAGAATAAGAAGAAGAAGTCTCGAGGACGGGGGAGGAAAGGAGGAGTGGATGAGGAGAGAGAGGCAGAACCCGGGCTCCAGAGAGGGGGAAGAGGAGGGGAGGCCTGGTCTAAGACCCCTGGAGCGCCTCCTCCGGCCGTTCCATCCCTCTATCCGTTATGGAAGAGGAGTAGCTCTGATTCAGAGTTCTCTGATCCTGAGGGAGCAGCACACAGTAAACTGAGGTAACACACTGTCCTGTTCTCTCTGTGTGTGTGTGTGTGTGTGTGTGTGTGTGTGTGTGTGTAGTAATGTGTGTTCTCTCTCGCCAGGTTGTTCCATGGCAGGGTGCGGCAGGGTGTGTTGCTGTGTCTCCTAGCCGTGGTGAAGGCAGTGGAGAGGAGAACGCTGTATGGCTATTGGTCGTCATTCATACCGGACGCTCCCATTGGTGGACCACCTCCTCTCACACTGCTCACTGTCGTACTGAAGGACCCTTCACCTAAGGTAGGCACACACCCCCACCCCCACCCCCACCCCCACCTGTATAGTAGGTAACCCTGGTCTCTCTCTCTCTCTCTCCAGGTGCGTGCGTGTGCCCTCCAGGTGGTGTCTGCGTTGCTGGATGGTTCCCGTCAGTTCCTGGGCGTGGCTGAAGACTTGGCTCCGCCCAGAACCTCTTACACTCCATTCTCCTTCTCCCTCGCCACCGCCGTCCGCGAGCTGCACCGCTCTCTCTCCCTGGCGTTGCTGGCCGAGGCCTCTGCCCACACTCTCACTCAGATCATCAAGGTGACTCACACACTCAGATCATCAAGGTGACTCACACACTCACTCAGATCATCAAGGTGACTCACACACTCACTCAGATCATCAAGGTGACTCACACACTCACTCAGATCATCAAGGTGACTCACACACTCACTCAGATCATCAAGGTGACTCACACACTCACTCAGATCATCAAGGTGACTCACACACTCACTCAGATCATCAAGGTGACTCACACACTCACTCAGATCATCAAGGTGACTCACACACTCACTCAGATCATCAAGGTGACTCACACACTCACTCAGATCATCAAGGTGTCTCACACACTCACTCAGATCATCAAGGTGTCTCACACACTCACTCAGATCATCAAGGTGACTCACACACTCACTCAGATCATCAAGGTGACTCACACACTCACTCAGATCATCAAGGTGTCTCACACACTCACTCAGATCATCAAGGTGACTCACACTCACTCAGATCATCAAGGTGATTCACACACTCACTCAGATCATCAAGGTGACTCACACACTCACTCAGATCATCAAGGTGACTCACACACTCACTCAGATCATCAAGGTGACTCACACACTCACTCAGATCATCAAGGTGTCTCACACACTCACTCAGATCATCAAGGTGACTCACACACTCACTCAGATCATCAAGGTGACTCACACACTCACTCAGATCATCAAGGTGTCTCACACACTCACTCAGATCATCAAGGTGACTCACACTCACTCAGATCATCAAGGTGACTCACACTCACTCAGATCATCAAGGTGATTCACACACTCACTCAGATCATCAAGGTGACTCACACACTCAGATCATCAAGGTGACTCACACACTCACTCAGATCATCAAGGTGACTCACACACTCACTCAGATCATCAAGGTGACTCACACACTCACTCAGATCATCAAGGTGACTCACACACTCACTCAGATCATCAAGGTGACTCACACACTCACTCAGATCATCAAGGTGACTCACACTCACTCAGATCATCAAGGTGACTCACACACTCACTCAGATCATCAAGGTGACTCACACCACTCACTCAGATCATCAAGGTGACTCACACACTCACTCAGATCATCAAGGTGACTCACACACTCACTCAGATCATCAAGGTGACTCACACACTCACTCAGATCATCAAGGTGACTCACACACTCACTCAGATCATCAAGGTGACTCACACTCTCACTCAGATCATCAAGGTGACTCACACACTCACTCAGATCATCAAGGTGACTCACACACTCACTCAGATCATCAAGGTGACTCACACTCTCACTCAGATCATCAAGGTGACTCACACACTCACTCAGATCATCAAGGTGACTCACACACTCACTCAGATCATCAAGGTGACTCACACACCTCACTCAGATCATCAAGGTGACTCACACACTCACTCAGATCATCAAGGTGACTCACACACTCACTCAGATCATCAAGGTGACTCACACACTCACTCAGATCATCAAGGTGTCTCACACACTCACTCAGATCATCAAGGTGACTCACACACTCACTCAGATCATCAAGGTGACTCACACACTCACTCAGATCATCAAGGTGACTCACACACTCAGATCATCAAGGTGACTCACACACTCACTCAGATCATCAAGGTGTCTCACACACTCACTCAGATCATCAAGGTGATCCACACTCACTCAGATCATCAAGGTGATTCACACACTCACTCAGATCATCAAGGTGACTCACACACTCACTCAGATCATCAAGGTGACTCACCACTCAGATCATCAAGGTGACTCCACACCACTCACTCAGATCATCAAGGTGACTCACACACTCACTCAGATCATCAAGGTGACTCACACACTCACTCAGATCATCAAGGTGACTCACCACACTCACTCAGATCATCAAGGTGAACTCACACACTCACTCAGATCATCAAGGTGACTCACACACTCACTCAGATCATCAAGGTGTCTCACACACTCACTCAGATCATCAAGGTGACTCACACTCACTCAGATCATCAAGGTGACTCACACACTCACTCAGATCATCAAGGTGACTCACACACTCACTCAGATCATCAAGGTGACTCACACACTCACTCAGATCATCAAGGTGACTCACACACTCCACTCAGATCATCAAGGTGACTCACACACTCACTCAGATCATCAAGGTGACTCACACACCACTCAGATCATCAAGGCGACTCACACCACTCAGATCATCAAGGCGACTCACACACTCACTCAGATCATCAAGGCGACTCACACACTCACTCAGATCATCAAGGCGACTCACACACTCACTCAGATCATCAAGGCGACTCACACACTCACTCAGATCATCAAGGCGACTCACACACTCACTCAGATCATCAAGGCGACTCACACACTCACTCAGATCATCAAGGCGACTCACACACTCACTCAGATCATCAAGGTGACTCACACACTCACTCAGATCATCAAGGTGATTCACACACTCACTCAGATCATCAAGGTGACTCACACACTCACTCAGATCATCAAGGTGACTCACACACTCACTCAGATCATCAAGGTGACTCACACACTCACTCAGATCATCAAGGTGACTCACACACTCACTCAGATCATCAAGGTGACTCACACACTCACTCAGATCATCAAGGTGACTCACACACTCACTCAGATCATCAAGGTGACTCACACACTCAGATCATCAAGGTGACTCACACACTCAGATCATCAAGGTGACTCACACACTCAGATCATCAAGGTGACTCACACACTCACTCAGATCATCAAGGCGACTCACACACTCACTCAGATCATCAAGGCGATTCACACACTCACTCAGATCATCAAGGCGACTCACACACTCACTCAGATCATCAAGGCGACTCACACACTCACTCAGATCATCAAGGCGACTCACACACTCACTCAGATCATCAAGGTGACTCACACACTCACTCAGATCATCAAGGTACTCACACACTCACTCAGATCATCAAGGTGACTCACACACTCACTCAGATCATCAAGGTGACTCACACACTCACTCAGATCATCAAGGTGACTCACACACTCACTCAGATCATCAAGGTGACTCACACACTCACTCAGATCATCAAGGTGACTCACACACTCACTCAGATCATCAAGGTGACTCACCACACTCACTCAGATCATCAAGGTGACTCACACACTCACTCAGATCATCAAGGTGACTCACACACTCACTCAGATCATCAAGGTGACTCACACACTCAGATCATCAAGGTGACTCACACACTCACTCAGATCATCAAGGTGATTCACACACTCACTCAGATCATCAAGGTGACTCACACACTCACTCAGATCATCAAGGTGTCTCACACACATTACTACACACACTGAGCCTCTGGACATAACCTTTTGACATAACCTTCTGTGTGTTCCAGTGCCTGGCTCACCTGGTGTGTAATGCTCCGTATAACCGTCTGAGACCCGGCCTGCTCAGCCCGCTGTGGAGACAGATACGACCCTACCTACGACACAGAGGTAAACACACCTACGTATGACACAGAGGTAAACACACCTACGTATGACACAGAGGTAAACACACCTACGTATGACACAGAGGTAAACACACCTACCTACGACACAGAGGTAAACACACCTACGTATGACACAGAGGTAAACACACCTACCTACGACACAGAGGTAAACACACCTACGTATGACACAGAGGTAAACACACCTACGTATGACACAGAGGTAAACACACCTACCTACGACACAGAGGTAAACACACCTACCTACGACACAGAGGTAAACACACCTACCTACGACACAGAGGTAAACACACCTACCTACGACACAGAGGTAAACACACCTACCTACGACACAGAGGTAAACACACCTACGTATGACACAGAGGTAAACACACCTACCTACGACACAGAGGTACACCTACCTGCTTGTGTGTGATCTTACAGACGTTGTGTGTCCTCTTCTAGATGTGAACGTGCGTGTGTCTGTTCTGACGCTGTATGGAGCGTTGGTGTCGACCCAAGCCCCTCTCTCTGAGATACAGCTGCTCCTCACACAGCCACACACCTCGCAGGAGACGGCGTTGAGCTGGAGACAGAGGGAGGGGTTTTCCACACCCTCACCACACACTCCACCCTCACACAAATACCACAACTCACACACCAAACAGACACACTCTCCTCGGGGCTCACACACTCCAGGAGAGGAGGAGCCGGGCGTGCCCTGGCTGCTGCAGCTGTGTGTGTCGCTTGTCACTCAACCCAGAGATGACCAATCAGACAGCGAGGGTCCAGGAGGAGGGGCTACAGCTCTAGAGCCCTCCCCAGTTCGCCTGGAGGCCTTACAGGTGAGAAAGACACTTCAGCAAGCTAGCATCAGTGGATGGTTAGCTTGTAGCGATCTAGCATCAGTGGATGGTTAGCTTGTAGCGATCTAGCATCAGTGGATGGTTAGCTTGTAGCGATCTAGCATCAGTGGATGGTTAGCTTGTAGCGATCTAGCATCAGTGGATGGTTAGCTTGTTGCGATCTAGCATCAGTGGATGGTTAGCTTGTAGCGATCTAGCATCAGTGGATGGTTAGCTTGTAGCGAACTAGCGTCAGTGGATGGTTAGCTTGTAGCGAACTAGCGTCAGTGGATGGTTAGCTTGTAGCGATCTAGCATCAGTGGATGGTTAGCTTGTAGCGCTTTAGCATTAGTGGATGGTTAGCTTATAACGATCTAGTGTCAGTAGATGGTTAGCTAGATATTGTACAAATAAGGTTAGATATTGTACAAATAAGCTTGCATCCTAAATAACTATTATTATTTGTAGATCAGTTTGCTGGTTTTGACTAGGTGGGATACAGCTACGACCGGAGCAGATTAGGATAACTAACAGGTTAGGAGAACTAACGCAGCAGGTTAGGATAACTAATAGGTTAGGAGAACTTATAGGTTAGGGGAACTAACGCAGCAGATTAGGAGACCTAATAGGTTAGGAGAACTAACGCGGCAGATTAGGAGAACTAATAGGTTAGGAGAACTAACGCAGCAGGTTAGGAGAACTAATAGATTAGGAGAACTAATAGGTTAGGAGAACTAATAGGTTAGGAGAACTAACGCGGCAGATTAGGAGAACTAATAGGTTAGGAGAACTAATAGGTTAGGAGAACTAACAGGTTAGGAGAACTAACAGGTTAGGAGAACTAATAGGTTCGGAGAACTAACGCGGCAGATTAGGAGAACTAATAGGTTAGGAGAACTAACGCGGCAGGTTAGGAGAACTAACGCAGCAGGTTAGGAGAACTAACGCAGCAGGTTAGGAGAACTAACGCGGCAGATTAGGAGAACTAATAGGTTAGGAGAACTAACGCGGCAGGTTAGGAGAACTAATAGGTTAGGAGAACTAATAGGTTAGGAGAACTAACGCAGCAGGTTAGGAGAACTAACGCAGCAGGTTAGGAGAACTAACGCAGCAGGTTAGGAGAACTAACGCAGCAGGTTAGGAGAACTAACGCAGCAGGTTAGGAGAACTAACGCAGCAGGTTAGGAGAACTAATAGGTTAGGAGAAATAACGCAGCAGGTTAGGAGAAATATTGCAGCAGGTTAGGAGAAATAACGCAGCAGGTTAGGAGAACTAATGGGTTAGGAGAACTAACGCAGCAGGTTAGGAGAACTAACGCAGCAGGTTAGGAGAACTAACGCAGCAGGTTAGGAGAACTAACGCAGCAGGTTAGGAGAACTAACGCAGCAGGTTAGGAATACTAGCGCAGCAGGTTAGGAATACTAGTGCAGCAGGTTAGGAATACTAGCGCAGCAGGTTAGGAGTACTAGCGCAGCAGGTTAGGAGTACTAATAGGTTAGGAGAACTAATAGGTTAGGAGAACTAACGCAGCAGGTTAGGAGAACTAATAGGTTAGGAGAACTAACGCAGCAGGTTAGGATAACTAATAGGTTAGGAGAACTAACAGGTTAGGAGAACTAACAGGTTAGGAGAACTAACAGGTTAGGAGTACTAACGCGGCAGATTAGGAGAACTAATAGGTTAGGAGAACTAATAGGTTAGGAGAACTAATAGGTTAGGAGAACTAATAGGTTAGGAGAACTAACAGGTTAGGAGAACTAATAGGTTAGGAGAACTAACGCGGCAGATTAGGAGAACTAATAGGTTAGGAGAACTAGCAGGTTAGGAGAACTAACGCAGCAGGTTAGGAGAACTAACGCGGCAGGTTAGGAGAACTAATAGGTTAGGAGAACTAACGCGGCAGGTTAGGAGAACTAATAGGTTAGGAGAACTAACGCAGCAGGTTAGGAGAACTAACGCAGCAGGTTAGGAGAACTAACGCAGCAGGTTAGGAGAACTAACGCAGCAGGTTAGGAGAACTAATAGGTTAGGAGAACTTATAGGTTAGGGGAACTAACGCAGCAGATTAGGAGACCTAATAGGTTAGGAGAACTAACGCGGCAGATTAGGAGAACTAATAGGTTAGGAGAACTAACGCAGCAGGTTAGGAGAACTAATAGGTTAGGAGAACTAACACGGCAGATTAGGAGAACTAATAGGTTAGGAGAACTAATAGGTTAGGAGAACTAATAGGTTAGGAGAACTAACGCAGCAGGTTAGGAGAACTAATAGGTTAGGAGAACTAATAGGTTAGGAGAACTAACGCGGCAGATTAGGAGAACTAATAGGTTAGGAGAACTAATAGGTTAGGAGAACTAATAGGTTAGGAGAACTAACGCGGCAGCAAGATTAGGGAGAACTAATAGGTTAGGAGAACTAATAGGTTAGGAGAACTAATAGGTTAGGAGAACTAATAGGTTAGGAGAACTAACGCGGCAGATTAGGAGAACTAATAGGTTAGGAGAACTAATAGGTTAGGAGAACTAATAGGTTAGGAGAACTAACGCGGCAGATTAGGAGAACTAATAGGTTAGGAGAACTAATAGGTTAGGAGAACTAATAGGTTAGGAGAACTAATAGGTTAGGAGAACTAACGCGGCAGATTAGGAGAACTAATAGGTTAGGAGAACTAATAGGTTAGGAGAACTAATAGGTTAGGAGAACTAACGCGGCAGATTAGGAGAACTAATAGGTTAGGAGAACTAATAGGTTAGGAGAACTAACGCGGCAGGTTAGGCGAACTAATAGGTTAGAAGAACTAGCAGGTTAGGAGAACTAACGCAGCAGGTTGGGAGAACTAACGCAGCAGGTTAGGAGAACTAACGCGGCAGATTAGGAGAACTAATAGGTTAGGAGAACTAACGCGGCAGGTTAGGAGAACTAATAGGTTAGGAGAACTAACGCAGCAGGTTAGGAGAACTAACGCAGCAGGTTAGGAGAACTAACGCAGCAGGTTAGGAGAACTAACGCAGCAGGTTAGGAGAACTAACGCAGTAGGTTAGGAGAACTAACGCAGCAGGTTAGGAGAACTAATGGGTTAGGAGAACTAACGCAGCAGGTTAGGAGAACTAATAGGTTAGGAGAACTAATAGGTTAGGAGAACTAATAGGTTAGGAGAAATAACGCAGCAGGTTAGGAGAACTAATAGGTTAGGAGAACTAACGCAGCAGGTTAGGATAACTAATAGGTTAGGAGAACTAACAGGTTAGGAGAACTAACAGGTTAGGAGTACTAACGCAGCAGGTTAGGATAACTAATAGGTTAGGAGAACTAACGCGGCAGATTAGGAGAACTAATAGGTTAGGAGAACTAACGCGGCAGATTAGGAGAACTAATAGGTTAGGAGAACTAATAGGTTAGGAGAACTAATAGGTTAGGAGAACTAACGCGGCAGATTAGGAGAACTAATAGGTTAGGAGAACTAACGCAGCAGGTTAGGATAACTAATAGGTTAGGAGAACTAACGCAGCAGGTTAGGAGAACTAACAGGTTAGGAGAACTAACGGGTTAGGAGAACTAACGGGTTAGGAGAACTAACGCAGCAGGTTTTGAGAAATGTACCGGACATCCATATGCATTGGGCAATGCATTAGGGCGTCCACAAACGGTGATCAAAATCACATTTAGGTTATTGTAATTATTCTTAACAGAATAGAAATGAGCCTGTAAAGGTGGAATAAAATGAAGTAGAGTGATGTTCTCATAGCAACATGACAGGTTTTATTGAAAAGCAAAACATGGCCCTTTGCCTCTTCATCCCTGCTATAAATCAGAAATTAATATCTTTAAAAAAAACAAAAAAACATTTAGCCTAGAAGATGTCGCCTACAATTTGTGAACTACCTGACCTATAGGCTATTTGTATGAACATTTTAATTAATAAATAACAAAACGGCTGTTTTCAAATACAATCTAGGCCCCTCTAATTTAGCCCCGGCATGAACATTTGAATTGGGCCTAATAAATAACACAACATGGCTGTCTACTAACACCAGGGCTGGCCCATCCCACTCCCCACGCCCGGGGCTGGCCCATCCCACTCCCCACGCCCGCTGTCTACTAACACCAGGGCTGGCCCATCCCACTCCCCACGCCCGCTGTCTACTAACACCAGGGCTGGCCCATCCCACGCCCGGGGCTGGCCCATCCCACTCCCCACGCCCGCTGGGATGACAACACCAGGTTTTACTGTTAAGCTATAAAGCGTTACATGGGCTTGCTCCTACCTATCTTTCCGAGTTGGTCCTGCCGTACATACCAATACGTACGCTACGGTCACAAGACGCAGGCCTCCTAATTGTCCCTAGAATTTCTAAGCAAACAGCGGGAGGCAGGGCTTTCTCCTATAGATCTCCATTTTTATGGAACAGTCTGCCTACCCATGTGAGAGACGCAGACTCAGTCTCAACCTTTAAGTCTTTACTGAAGACTTATCTCTTCAGTAGGTCATATGATTGAGTGTAGTCTGGCCCAGGAGTGTGAAGGTGAACGGAAAGGCTGGAGCAACGAACAGCCCTTGCTGTCTCTGCCGGGCCGGTTCCCCTCTCCACTGGGGTTCTCTGCCTCTAACCCTGTTGCAGGGGCTGAGTCACTGGCTTGCTGGTGCTCTTTCATGCCGTCCCTGGGAGGGGTGCGTCACTTGAGTGGGTTGAGTTACTGACGTGATCTTCCTGTCTGGGTTGGCGCCCCCCCCTTGGTTTGTGCTGTGGTGGAGACCTCTGTGGGCTATACTCGGCCTTGTCTCAGGATTGTAAGTTGGTGGTTGGGGATATCCCTCTAGTGGTGCGGGGGCTGTGCTTTGGCGGAGTGGGTGGGGTTATATCCTTCCTGTTTGGCCCTGTCCGGGGGTTTCTTCGGATGGGGCCACAGTGTCTCCGGACCGCTCCTGTCTCAGCCTCCAGTATTTATGCTGCAGTAGTTTATGTGTCGGGGGGCTGGGGTTAGTTGGTTATACCTGGAGTACTTCTCCTGTCTTATCCAGTGTCCTGTGTGAATTTAAGTATGCTCTCTCTAATTCTCTCGTTCTCTCTTTCTCTCTGAGAACCTGAGCCCTAGGACCATACGTCAGGACTACCGGGCATGATGACACCTTGCTGTCCCCAGTCCGCCTGGCCTTGCTGCTATTCCAGTTTCAACTGTTCTGCCTGCGGCTACGAAACCCCTACCTGTCCCAGACCTGCTGTTTTCAACTCTTAATGATCGGCTATGAAAAGCCAACTGAGAGACCTGAGCCCTAGGACCATACGTCGGGACTACCGGCCGTGGTGACTCCTTGCTGTCCCCAGTCCGCCTGGCCTTGCTGCTATTCCAGTTTAAACTGTTCTGCCTGCGGTTATGGAACCCCTACCTGTCCCAGACCTGCTGTTTTCAAACTCTTAATGATCGGCTATGAAAAGCCAACTGAGATTTATTCCTGATTATTATTTGACCATGCTTGTCACTTATGAACATTTTTGAACATCTTGGCATGGTTCTGTTATAATCTCCACCCGGCACAGCCAGAAGAGGACTGGCCACCCCTCATAGCCTGGTTCCTCTCTAGGTTTCTTCCTAGGTTTTCGCCTTTCTAGGGAGTTTTTCCTAGCCACCGTGCTTCTACACCTGCATTACTAGCTGTTTGGGGTTTTAGGCTGGGTTTCTGTACAGCACTTCGAGATATTAGCTGATGTAAGAAGGGCTATATAAAATAAAATTGATTGATTGATTGACCAGGGCTGGCCCATCCCACTCCCCACGCCCGCTGTCTACTAACACCAGGGCTGGCCCATCCCACTCCCCACGCCCGCTGGGATGACAACACCAGGGCTGGCCCATCCCACTCCCCACGCCCGCTGTCTACTAACACCAGGGCTGGCCCATCCCACTTCCCACGCCCGCTGGGATGACAACACCAGGGCTGGCCCATCCCACTCCCCACGCCCGCTGTCTACTAACACCAGGGCTGGCCCATCCCACTCCCCACGCCCGCTGGGATGACAACACCAGGGCTGGCCCATCCCACTCCCCACGCCCGCTGGGATGACTCTGGTCGTGTGATATATGCTGAGGGTTGGGGGCATCAATAAGGGATCATAGCTTTCACCTGGTCAGTCTGTCAAGGAAACAGCAGGTGTTCTTAATGTTTTGTACACTCAGGTGTATGTGGCTTATTGATAACTAGTGTGCCCAGTGAATAATCTCAAATCCCTGAATGACTATCATCCCATCTCCTTGACCTCGGTGATAATCAAATGTGTGGAGCGCATTGACCTGGGACACCTGCTCCGGCACACAGAGAGCTTACTGGACCCGTTCATATTTACCAGGCACTCCTTTTCTACCTGGATAAACCATTACATCCTTATCTACTGGTGAACAAACTTGTGACCGTGGGCGTCAACGCACGTCTCATCAACTGGATCCGGTGTTCTCACCAGTCGGGTCAGAAGAGTGAGGTTCCATGCGAATACATCAGACCCACTAACCACCAATATAGGGGTACCCCAGGGCAGTGTCCTTTCACCGGTTCTGTTCACCCTCTACACTAACGATTGCACCCAAATGACATCAGAATGTGCAACAGTAAAGTATGCAGATGATAGATTGTTGGTCTAATAGGATGATTCACCCAATGGTGCAAGGAAAACAGACTCATTCTTAATGTGAAAAAAAAAACAGGAAATGACAAACTTCAGAACTATAAAAGACGACACCGGGCCCATCCACATTGACTCAGAACAGATAGACACTGGGCCCATCCACATTGACTCAGAACAGATAAATCAAATCAAATTGTATTGGTCACATGCGCTGAATACAACAGGTGCAGACATTACAGTGAAATGCTTACTTACAGCCCTTAACCAACAGTGCATTTATTTTAAACAAAAAAAGTAAGAATAAAACAACAACAAAAAAAGTGTTGAGAAAAAAAGAGCAGAAGTAAAATAAAGTGACAGTAGGGAGGCTATATATACAGGGGGGTACCGTTGCAGAGTCAATGTGCGGGGGCACCGGCTAGTTGAGGTAATATGTACATGTGGGTAGAGTTAAAGTGACTATGCATAAATACTTAACAGAGTAGCAGCAGCGTAAAAAGGATGGGGTGGGGGGGCAGTGCAAATAGTCCGGGTAGCCATGATTAGCTGTTCAGGGGTCTTATGGCTTGGGGGTAGAAGCTGTTGAGAAGTCTTTTGGACCTAGACTTGGCACTCCGGTACCGCTTGCTGTGCGGTAGCAGAGAGAACAGTCCATGACTAGGGTGGCTGGAGTCTTTGACAATTTTTAGGGCCTTCCTCTGACACCGCCTGGTATAGAGGTCCTGAATGGCAGGGAGCTTTGCCCCAGTGATGTACTGGGCCGTACGCACTACCCTCTGTAGTGCCTTGCGGTCGGAGGCCGAGCAGTTGCCATACCAGGCGGTGATGCAACCGGATGGTGCATCTGTATAATGTTTTGATGATCTGAGGACCCATGCCAAATCTTTTCAGTCTCCTGAGGGGGAATAGGCTTTGTCGTGCCCTCTTCACGACTGTCTTGGTGTGTTTGGACCATGATAGTTCGTTGGTGATGTGGACACCAAGGAACTTGAAGCTCTCAACCTGTTCCACTACAGCCCCGTCGATGAGAATGGGGGTGTGCTCAGTCCTCTTTTTTTTCCTGTAGTCCACAATCATCTCCTTTGTCTTGGTCACGTTGAGGGAGAGGTTGTTATCCTGGCACCACACGGCCAGGTCTCTGACCTCCTCCCTATAGGCTGTCTCGTCGTTGTCGGTGATCAGGCCTACCACTGTTGTGTCGTCGGCAATCTTAATGATGGTGTTGGAGTCGTGCCTGGCCATGCAGTCATGGGTGAACAGAGAGTACAGGAGGGGACTGCTCAGACACCAGGCCCATCCACATTGACTCAGAACAGATAGACACTGGGCTCATCCACATTGACTCAGAACAGATAGACACTGGGCCCATCCACAGTGACTCAGAACAGATAGACACCGGGCCCATCCACATTGACTCAGAACAGATAGACACCGGGCCCATCCACATTGACTCAGAACAGATAGAATTAGTTGAGCAATACAAATATCTTGGAACTATAATTGACTCAAAACGCTCCTGGACTACAAACACACAACAGATACACAACAAGGGACAACAACGCCTGTATTTCACGAGGAGATTAAATAAATATAAGGTCAATAAAATAATATCAACCATATTCTACACATCCTTTGTTCCGTGTTTTCACTTTCTGTTTCCAAGCCTGGTACAATCAGCTATCCATCGCAAATAAAAACCAACTACACAAAATAGTGAAGCTGTCAAGCAGAATCAGTGGAGTTAATCTGAAGAACATGGAAGCTGTTCTTGGAGAGAGTAGTGAGGGTAGGAGTGACCTGACTCAACCAGGAGCACCAGCTCCTCAACCAGGAGCACCAGCTCCTCAACCAGGAGCACCAGCTCATCAACCAGGAGCACCAGCTCCTCAACCAGGAGCACTAGCTCCTCAACCAGGAGCACCAGCTCCTCCCATCAGGATACATAGTCCATCTTTACACACCTGAGACTAATGTCCAAGCAGACAGAGGATGTATTAGTTTATGAAGAATATTAGCCTTGGAAGTTGGAGCACATCGACTGAATAAAAAGCATTCTTTTGCATTATTTCTTCGAACAATTTGGCCTGCAACAATTTTATTTTATTAGCTTTTCTGGGGGTTTTTTGGGGCCAAAAGCCAGCATTTACTGGCTAATGGAAACCTGTGTGTGTCTGTGTGTCTGTGTCTCTGTGTCTCTGTGTCTCTGTGTCTCTGTGTCTCTGTGTCTCTGTGTGTCTGTGTGTCTGTGTGTCTGTGTGTCTGTGTGACTGTGTGACTGTGTGTCTGTGTGTCTGTGTGTCTGTGTGTCTGTGTGACTGTTAGGTGCTAGCCCACCTGGTGCGCGGTTACTTCCCTCTGTGCCAGACGTGTCTGTGTGAGCTGGGGCAGCTGAGTGCCCGCTGTCTCCGAGAGACGGACCCCTCCATACAACTACACGGAGCCAAGGTAACACACACACACACACACCACACACACACACACACACACACACACACACACACACACACACACGGATCCAAGGTTGTAACACACACACACACACCACACACACACACACACACACACACACACACACACACACACACACAGAGCCAATGTAACACACACACACACACACACACACGGAGCCAAGGTAACACACACACACACGGATCAGTAGTTTGTTTAACATATCGAATAATGTGGAAAAATGAGACAAACATAACATCTCTCTCCGTAGTTACTGGAGGAGTTGGGGACAGGTATCATCCAACAGTACAGAGCAGACAGCAGCCAGGCAGAGAGCTGCAGGGTCCAGATCTCACAGGTACACCGGTGTTTCTGTCTGGCCGTCTGCCACACCTGTCCGTCTGCCACACCTGTCTGTCTGCCACACCTGTCTGTCTGCCACACCTGTCTGTCTGCCACACCTGTCTGTCTGCCACACCTGTCTGTCTGCCACACCTGTCTGTCTGCCACACCTGTCTGTCTGCCACACCTGTCTGTCTGCCACACCTGTCTGTCTGCCACACCTGTCTGTCTGCCACACCTGTCTGTCTGCCACACCTGTCCGTCTGCCACACCTGTCCGTCTGCCACACCTGTCCGTCTACCACACCTGTCCGTCTGCCACACCTGTCCGTCTGCCACACCTGTCCGTCTGCCACACCTGTCCGTCTGCCACACCTGTCCGTCTGCCACACCTGTCCGTCTGCCACGCCTGTCCGTCTGCCACGCCTGTCCGTCTGCCACGCCTGTCCGTCTGCCACACCTGTCCGTCTGTTCCCTCAGGCCAGGAGGGAAGCAAAAGTCATTCCGCTACCTAAGAATAGTAAAGCCCCCTTTACTGGCTCAAACAGCCGACCAATCAGCCTGTTACCGACCTTTAGTAAACCTTTGGAAAGAATTGTGTTTAACCAGATAAAATGCTATTTTACAATAAACAAATTGACAACAGTCTTTCAGCACGCTTATAGGAAAGGACATTCAACAAGCACAGCACTTACTCAAATTACTGATGATTGGCTGAGAGAAATTATTGATAAAAAGATTGTGGGAGCTGTTTTGTTAGACTTCAGTGCGGCTTTTGACATTATCGATCATAGTCTGCTGATGTAAAAACATGTGTTATGGCTTTACACCCCCTGCTATATTGTGGATAAAGAGTTACCTGTCGAACACAACACAGAGGGCAGGGTTACCAACTAGCACAGAGGGCAGGGTTACCAACTAGCACAGAGGACAGGGTTACCAACTAGCACAGAGGACAGGGTTACCAACTAGCACAGAGGACAGGGTTACCAACTAGCACAGAGGGACAGGGTTACCAACTAGCACAGAGGACAGGGTTACCAACTAGCACAGAGGACAGGGTTACCAACTAGAGGGCAGGGTTACCAACTAGCACAGGGTTACCAACTAGAGGGCAGGGTTACCAACTAGCACAGAGGGCAGGGTTACCAACTAGAGGACAGGGTTACCAACTAGAGGACAGGGTTACCAACTAGAGGACAGGGTTACCAACTAGAGGACAGGGTTACCAACTAGAGGACAGGGTTACCAACTAGAGGACAGGGTTACCAACTAGAGGACACAGGGTTACCAACTAGCACAGAGGACAGGGTTACCAACTAGCACAGAGGGACAGGGTTACCAACTAGCACAGAGGGCAGGGTTACCAACTAGAGGACAGGGTTACCAAACTAGCACAGAGGACAGGGTTACCAACTAGAGGACAGGGTTACCAACTAGCACAGAGGACAGGGTTACCAACTAGCACAGAGGACAGGGTACCATCTAGAGGGACAGGGTTACCCACTAGGAGGACAGGGGTACCAACTAGCAAGAGGCAGGGTACCAACTAGAGGACAGGGTTACCAATAGCCACAGAGGGGACAGGGTACAAACTAGAGGACAGGGTTCAAACTAGAGGAACGGGTTACCCACTCGAGACAGGGTACCAACTAGAGGACAGGGGTACAACTGCACAGAGGCCAGGGTACCAACTAGAGGACAGGGTTACCAACTAGCACAGAGGACAGGGTTACCAACTAGAGGACAGGGTTACCAACTAGAGGGACCGGGTACCAACTAGAGGACAGGGGTATCCAACTAGCACAGGGGACCAGGGTTGGGTTACCAATAGAGACAGGGTACCCAACTAGAGGACAGGGTTCGTACCAACTAGAGGACAGGCGTTACCAAACTAGCACAGAGGGACAGGGTTACCAACTAGCACAGAGGGCAGGGTACCAAATATAGAGGACAGGCGCTACCAACTAGAAAGAGGGACGGGGGTACCAAATAGCACAGAGGGCAGGGTTACCAACTAGCACAGGCGGGCAGGGTACCAATAGAGGGACAGGGTTACCAAACTGAGGACAGGTTACAACTAGAGGAAAGGGTTACCAACTAGAGGACAGGGTTACAAACTAGAGGGGGACAGGGTTACCAACTAGCACAGAGACAGGGTTACACCTAGAGGGACAGGGTTACCACTAGCACAGGGGGCAGGGGTTACCAAATAGAGGGAGGGGTTACCAACAGAGGACAGGGTACCAACTAGAGGACAGGGTTACAACTAGACCAGAGGGCAGGTTACCAACTAGCACAGAGGGCAGGGTTACCCAACTAGCACAGAGGACAGGGTTACCAACTAGAGGACAGGTTACCCAACTAGCACAGAGGGCAGGGTTACCAATAGAGGACAGGGTACCAACTAAGGAGGGACAGGGCGTTACAACGAGAGGGACAGGGTTACCAACTAGATGACAGGGTTACCAACTAGAGGACAAGGTTACCCAACTAGAGGACCGGGTTACCAATAGAGGGCAGGGTTACCAACTAGAGTGCCAGGGTTACCAACTAGAGGGCAGGGTTACCAACTAGCACAGAGGACAGGGTTACCAACTAGCACAGAGGACAGGGTTACCAACTAGCACAGAGGAAGGGTTACCAACTAGAGGACAGGGTTACCACACTAGAGGAAGGGTTGACAAACGCTAGCACAGAGGGACAGGGTTACCAAACTAGCACGAGGGGCGGGGTACCAACTTAGCACAGAGGACAGGTTACCAACTAGCACAGCGGGCAGGGTTACCAAATAGAGGACAGGGGGTTACCAACTAGCACAGAGGAACAGGGTACAAACTAGAGGACAGGTACCAACTAGCACAGAGGTACAGGTTACCAAACTAGAGGACCGGGTTACCAAACTAGCACAGAGGGCAGGGGTTCCCAACTATCACAGAGGACAGGGTTTACCCAACGAGAGGACAGTGGTACCAAACTAGCACAGAGGGACAGGGGTTACCAAACCTAGCCCAGAGGACAGGGTTACCAACTAGAGGGCAGGTTACCAACTAGCACAGAGGACAGGGTTACCAACTAGAGGGACAGGGTTACCAAAACTAGCGGACGGGTTACCAACTAGCACAGAGGACAGGGGTACCAACTAGACAGAGGGCTAGGGTTACCAACTAGCCAAGGACAGGGTTACAACTAAGAGGACAGGGTACCAACTAGCACAGGGACAGGGTTACAAACTAGGGAACAGAGGGCCAGGGTTACCAACTAGGAGACAGGACCATGGTTACAACTAGCACAGAGGGCGGGTTACACCTAGAGGGACGGGTACCAACTAGGGGAACAGGGTTTACCAAATAGAGGGACCAGGGTACAAACTAGAGGCAGGGTTACCAACTAGAGGACAGGGTTACCAACTAGAGGGTCAGGGTTACCAACTAGAGGGCAGGGTTACAATAGCCAGAGGGCGGGTTACAAACTAGCACAGGGGGCATGGTTACAACTAGCACAGAGGGACAGGTGTTACCAAACTGCACAGAGGGCAGGGGTACCAACTAGAGGACAGGGTTGAACCAAAATAGCACAGAGGACAGGTTACCAACTAGAGGACCAGGGTTACCAACTAGGGACAGGGTTACCAACTAGCACAGAGGGCAGGGTACCAAATAGAGGACAGGGTACCAATAGAGGACGGGTACCCAACTAGAGGACAGGGGTTACCAACTGAGACAGGGTTACCAAACTCGAGGGCAGGGTTACCAACTGTGAGAGGGCGGGTTACCAACTAGAGGACAGGGTTACCATAATAGTAGAGGACAGGGTTACAAACAGAGGACAGGGTTACCAACTAGCACAGAGGGAGGGTTACCAACTAGCACAGGGTTACAAATAGCACAGGAGGGCCGGGTTACCAAATAGGAGGACAGGGTTACCAACTAGAGGACCAGGGTTACAAATGAGAGGGCAGGGGTTACAACTAGAGGGCAGGTTACAACTAGCACCAGAGGACAGGGTTTACCAACTAGAGGACAGGGTTACCAACTAGCAACAGAGGGCAGGGTTACCAACTAGCACAAGAGGGACAGGGTACCAACTAGAGGACAGGGTTCCAACTAGAGGACAGGGTTACAAACTAGCACAGAGGGAACAGGGTTACCAACTATGAGGGCAGGGTTACCACTGCACAGGAGGGCAGGGTTACCAACTAGAGGACAGGGTTACCCAACTAGCACAGGGGGGCAGTGGTTACCAACTAGAGGACAGGGTTCCAACTATCACACAGGTTACCAACTAGCACAGGGGCCGGGTTACCAACTAGCACGAGGGAACGGGGTACCAAAACTTGAGGACAGGGTTACCAACTAGAGGACAGGGTTACCAACTAGCACAGAGGACAGGGTTACCAACTAGAGGACAGGGTTACCAATAGAGGACAGGGCTTCCAAACTAGAGGAAAGGGTTTACAACTAGAGGGACAGGGTTACCAACTAGAGGACAGGGTTACCAACTAGAGGACAGGGTTACCAACTAGCACAGGGGGCAGGGTTACCAACTAGAGGACAGGGTTACCAACTAGCACAGAGGACAGGGTTACCAACTAGCCCAGAGGACAGGGTTACCAACTAGAGGACAGGGTTACAACTAGAGGGACAGGGTTACCAACTAGAGGACGGGTTACCAAACTAGAGGGCAGGCGTTACCAACTAGCCCAGATGGCCAGGGTAAGGGTTTACCAACTAGCAAAGGGGGCAGGGTTACCCACTAGAGGGACAGGGTTACCAACTAGAGTAAGGGTTACAATAGAGGACAGGGTTATCAATAGAGGACAGGGTTACCAAAATGCACAAGGGGGCAGGGGTACAACTAGCACAGCGGGCAGGGTTACCAATAGAGGAAAGGGTTACCAACTAGAGGAAGGGTTACAAAATCGCACAGGGGGCAGGGGTGTTTACAACTAGAGGGACGGGTTACAACTAGATGGCAGAGGTTACCAACTAGCACAGGGGGCAGGGTTACCAACTAGGAGGACAGGGTTACCAAATAGAACAGAGACAGGGACCAACTAGCCCAGAGGACCAGGGTACCAACTAAACGAGGACAGGGTCACAAAATAGAAGGACAGGGTTACCAACTAGAGGACAGGGTTACCAACAAGCACAGAAGGACCGGGTTACCAACTAGCCACAGAGGACAGGGTTACCAATAGCCAGAGGGGCAGGGTTACCAAACT